CAAAAATAACTCTTTTTTTCTCTACCACTAGGTTCAATTTGTAAAACTCCAAACATTTTGGATAAATTTCTACATTTAATTTTTTTTTTAAAAAAATATCAAAATTGAGTGTAATCAACTGACACCACTCAATATGACAGGCTATCGAGTGGTCGATATGTGAGGTTAGCAGGTGGTAGCATGTATCTTGAGTTTGCACTTCTAAGGTGGGTCCCAAAGACCCCTTACTAGGGTCGGTTCTCGGTTATAAAAAAAAAATTATAACTGAGACCATTCATTAAGATGTAGCTCCATCTGTTCCTTTTAGGCAACAAATTGTGCTACCTATCTATCCTTTCTTCCTGAAATACAATTTACAAAATTCTTCATCCCCTCTTGTTTATGTTCTATCTTTTTCTACAAATAATAATATTAGGAAAAAAAGAAAAAGAAAAAAGGTGTCTACTTACCCATTCTACACAACACCCAGATGGATACCACAAGAAAATAAACAATTAATAAAGTCTTCAACTAATAAAATTCATGAGTACAAGCAAAAATGATTTCATAGCCAATAATCAAAAGAAATACTTAATAGTTTTGAATGCATATTTACCATGAAACAAGGCCATTGGTGTGTTTCCGTATGAAATCAGAGCTGAAAACATCGAAGGATCTTGCCTCTCCTGTTTTCACATTGTAAGCCACAACCAACTTTTCAAAGTGAATGAAGACCAAGATTTGGCCATCATCCAGCCAACCAACAACTAACAGGTATGAAACTCTCACATAAAATATTCGGTACATCTATTGCTTCTGTAATCTTGTAAAGTTTAGCCCATTCATTGCAACGTAAGTCCTTTAATATGCATACATGAACCTCTGCCGAATGTCTCACAATGAAAGATAAACTATTCCCCCGCTCAAGAAGACTATAACAACTCCCAACAAATTCATTTGGAACTTGAATGGAGTGAGAAGTTTCATCATAAAGGTCAATAACAAAAATATGACTGTTCATTTGAGAGTAATAAATAGCGCCTCCAACAGACACTGAAGCTCTATCATCACAATAAAAACTGATTCCTTTTAGTGAAGTCTCCATTCTTCTCCATGACATATTATTATCCAGAGACAATACAAACCACCTTATTATCCAGAGACAATACAAACCACCTTATTATCCAGAGACAATACAAACCACCTTATTATCCAGAGACAATACAAACCACCTTATTATCCAGAGACAATACAAACCACCTTATTATCCAGAGACAATACAAACCACCTTATTATCCAGAGACAATACAAACCACCTTATTATCCAGAGACAATACAAACCACCTTATTATCCAGAGACAATACAAACCACCTTATTATCCAGAGACAATACAAACCACCTTATTATCCAGAGACAATACAAACCACCTTATTATCCAGAGACAATACAAACCACCTTATTATCCAGAGACAATACAAACCACCTTATTATCCAGAGACAATACAAACCACCTTATTATCCAGAGACAATACAAACCACCTTATTATCCAGAGACAATACAAACCACCTTATTATCCAGAGACAATACAAACCACCTTATTATCCAGAGACAATACAAACCACCTTATTATCCAGAGACAATACAAACCACCTTATTATCCAGAGACAATACAAACCACCTTATTATCCAGAGACAATACAAACCACCTTATTATCCAGAGACAATACAAACCACCTTATTATCCAGAGACAATACAAACCACCTATATTCTCCACCTGATATTTCACAATGGCAAACCACCTTGTACTCCTCAGTGCAAGAAACCCACAGTAATGCAAAAACTCAGCAGGAAGGCAAACAAGAATGTGAAAAATGATGTCCTCAGGAATAAATGGGATGTCATTTTTCTGTTCCTTTGTTTGAGAGGATGAAGCATTCCTACAACAATGTAGAGAATACTATAAGAATTTTATAAACGATGATAAAAAATAAGACAAATAACAACATTGTTCACACATCTATGGAATAAAAAGTTATAGGTTCGAACATGAAATGTCTTTGGCACAAAATGAAATACAAAAGGAAGACAAGCACATACAAAACAAAAATCTCACTCAAACCAACTAACCAAAATAATAAACTCAATGTCACCTTTTTATTATACGAAAAAGAATTTTTTTTTTTAAAAATAGAAACCAAACGTGGTGATTATTTTTGTTTTTTATTTTTTAAGGAGATGTCTTAATATTTTTGGTTTTTATACATTTTCTTGATGCTTTATTTTGATTTAAGAAATTGTGTATCTACCCAAATTAGGTGAAATAAAATTTCTATCGAACAGTTCTAAGACTTGAGCAGGATGAAAATGACAAGTGAATTGACATGGAAAATCAAGAGTCTCTTGATCACCAGGAAAAAGTGGCGCTAAAAACTTCTTGTCAACCATGAATCAATGTATCAATAGAAATCAACGATCAACCATATATCAATGTATCAATAGAAATCAACGATCAGAAGGGTGTCAAGAATCCTAAAACCCCAAGGATGGACGTCTGTTTATTAGGCTTTACAACAAGGCAAACTTTTCTTAATTTTTTTTTTTTAAAAAAAAATGTAATTTATAAATGTAAGATCTCATTGTCAAATTTCCAGCCATAGTTCCCTGGCTTTGCAGACTCTCTCCCTCCCTCTCTCTCTCTCTCTCTCTCTCTCTCTCTCTCTCTGACACACACACAAACACAAATTTGTATTGTACATGTACTTAAGTTTTAACCAGTATGAAGCACTGTCGTTAACAAAAAAATATTGACCTTCTCGGAATTTAAGAACAAAATTGAATTTTTTATAAACTTGCATTAAAAGTGCAACACTAACAGAGAGGATACAAAAGGCACTTGACCAGCCTTCAAGAGCCTGTCAAGTGCCTTACAGATCCTCTCTGTCAGTTTTGCAATTCCAACACAAATCTGTGAGCAAATCAATTTTGTTCTTGAATCCCAAGAAGATAAAAAGTAAAAATAAATAAATAAAAAAAGTAAATTACAAATATAAGATCTCTTTGTCAAATTTTCAACCATAGTTTCCTAGCTTTGCAGTCTCTCTCTCTCTCACACACACATGCACACACCCACATAAATTTGTACTACATTTAACCAGTATGAAGCATATTTATGGGAAAAAAAATATCATATTTGTGAAAAAAATATTTAAAAAATTACTAAATACCAAAATTACAAAAAAAAATAATACGAAAATTCACTACATTTTTTGTATTTTTAGATATTTATTAATTTTTTTACAAATATTTTACTTTTTAGATACATCTAATTTTTTTTAATATTTGTAAAAAAATCTTTAAAAAATCACTAAATAACAAAATTACAAAAAAAAAATATAAAAATTCAATACATTTTTTATATTTTTGTATATTTATTAATTTTTTACAAATATTTTACTTTACCAAATTTTAATATTTGTAAAAAAAAAATCTTTAAAAAATCCATAAATACCAAAATTACAAAAAAATAATACGAAAATTCAATACATTTTTGTATTTTTGGATATTTATTAATTTTTTACAAATGTTATACTTTTTAGATAGATCTAAATTTTTTTAATATTTGTAAAGAAAATCTTTAAAAAAATCACTAAATACCAAAATTACAAAAAAAAATTATATATATTCTGTACATTTTTTGTATTTTTAAATATTTATTAATTTTTTAAAATATTTTTCTACAAATATTTTACTTTTTAGATACATCTAATTTTTTTTAATATTTGTAAAAAAAAAACTTAAAAAAATCACTAAATACCAAAATTACAAAAAAATATAAAAATTCAATACATTTTTTATATTTTTGTATATTTATTAATTTTTCACAAATATTTTACTTTACAAAATATCATATTTGTGAAAAAAAAAATCTTTAAAAAAATCAATAAAAACCAAAATTACAAAAAAATAATACAAAAATTCAATACATTTTTTGTATTTTTGGATATTTATTAATTTTTTAAAATATTGTTGTACAAATGTTATACTTTTTAGATAGATCTAAATTTTTTTAATATTTTTAAATAAAATCTTTAAAAAATCACTAAATACCAAAATTACAAAAAAATATAAAAATTCAGTATATTTTTTTGTATTTTTAGATATTTATTAATTTTTTAAAATATTTTTTTACAAATATTTTACTTTTTAAATAAATCTAATTATGGTGAACTTAAAAAGTATTCATTTAAAAAATAAAAAACACATTGTGATACTCTTAGCGGTAAGAGTCTACCAATAAGCAACCAAAAAAAAACCCGTAAGATGGATGAGGAGGAACTAACATAACAACATAACATAAAAAACACATTTAATAGGACAGGGACGAGACTGAGAGAGAGAGAGTCGATGGTGTCCATATGCAGCTCTCCACTGAGGATAACCAAAAAATAAATATTTGAATCAAATAAAACTAAAACAATAGAAATATCGTTCTCAAATCAAACAAACTTGTAACTACTAAAATAGTTTTTTAAAAATAAATAAATAAATCAAACTAAAAATCAATCTAACAAAACTTCAAGCCTCAGAGAAGTTGTACCCTCATGGACTAATAATGATGAGGGGCCTGGAGAAAAAAAAAATCAAACATATAAGAGCCCCAACAAAACAGGAAAAAAATTCAAAGCAATGAAATTTGGAAATGTTCAAGTAGATAAGAAAAACAGCAACCACAAAATGGTCAATTGGTCAGAGTGCTAAAATTTCTATTCATCAATTCCTCCTCCTCCTCCTCAAACTAATACTAAATCTGGCAGGGGCTCTCCTAATTCGAACACTCCTCCTTTTCCCTGATCTACTAACATGAAAAACAAGTTTAGGACTGGGACGAGGCAATTGTCCGTATGCGGCTCTCTGCTGAGGACAACAAAAAAATATATATGAATCAAACAAAATTAAAACTATTAAAATATTTTTTTTAAATAAATAAATAAATCAAACTAAAAATCAATCCAACAAACCTTCAAGCCTCAGAGGAGTTGTACGTCACACGAGGGGCCTGGAGAAAAATAATAAGAGCCAACAAAACAGGAAAAAAATTTAAACTACTAAAATTTGCAAATATTCAAGTAGATAAGAAAAAACATAAGTGACAGTCTGTCGGAGGTTCTCAGCTGAGGACAATGGAAAAAAAATATATCAATCAAAATCAAACAAAATTAGAACTATGGAAACTATCAATCAGACCAGTGTTTTTAAAAGTCGGTCTACCAAACATCAACCAAAAAAAAATCCTGGGTAGTGATACTCTTAGCAGTAAGAGTCCACCACAAAGCAACCAAAATATCCATAAAAATAGTCAATTGGTCAGGGCTAAAAACTCCATTCATCGATTCCTCCTCCTCCTCCTCCACAAACTAATACTAAATCTGGCAGGGGCTCTCCTATTATAGAAATATCATTTTCAATTCAAACAAAATTAAAACTATTAAAATAGTTTTTTCAAACCTTCAAGCCTCCGAGGAGTTGTACCCTCATGGACTAATAATGACGAAGGGCCTGGAGAAAAAAAATCAAACAAATAAGAACCAACAAAACAAGAAAAAAATTTAAACGTACTGAAATTTGCAAATGTTGAAGTAGATAAGAAAAATAGCAACCACAATACAAACCTGCTGGACTGGGAGTTGTTTGGACATCCTGCACCAAGCTCGAAATCCTTATATAATCTGTACTGCCCAGTCTAGCAGGGACTCTCCTATTTCTTGCACCCCTCCTTTTCCCAGACTGATTAACTAAAAAATTCGGACTCCTCGAGACAAAAGTGGGCAACCATCTGAGGTTCTTAACTGAGGACAACCGAAAAAAAATATATCAATCAAACAAAATTAAAACTATAGAAACTATATCAATCAAAATAGGACAAACAAAAAAAAAGAGGAAAACTTTAGTCCTGCAAACTACTTGTTGAATTGGGAGTTGTGGACCCAGTACCTAAATTATCCAGACCACCTTCCCCAACAAATGCACCTATGAAATATAGAACATCAACAAAATTCAAAAAATAGTTCACCTAATAAAGTGGGTGTTTGGAAAGTGGCTATTTTAGAGACTTTTTGCCTATTTTAGTAGGCAATTTTAGTTGTGTTTGGAAAGATGAGATAGATTTTTATTTGAGTTTGTGTATTGAAAAATGTGTTGAAATGATGTTTGAAGTTAAAATGACAAATTTGTCCCTAACTTCACATTTTTCAAAATTAATTTAAAGGGATAAAATTATAATTAACCAACCTGTCACAGTGACAGTCCTACACTGTCACTATGACAGCCCACAACCAGGCTATTTTTTTTTTTTTTTTTTAAATCAATGGTCTAAAGGGGCTTTTTTTATTGTTGAGGCTAAAATAGCCTCTACCCAGGCTTCCCAAATGCCGCCAAAATCAGTTCATCAAAAAAAATTCAAAAAACAGTTAACCTAAAAAGTTTTCATTTCCAAAACTTAAGTTCATTGTGGCTTAGGCACAAGGTGAGGTGCACGCTTCATTGAAGCAAGGCACACCTTTTAGTAAAAAATAAATAATTAACATAGACTAATAATTTGGACATAAACACAATCAAAATAAATAATTCACAACTCATAACCACTAAAACAAAGTAGGACAAAAAAAAAAAAAAAAAAAAAAAAAATAAAATAAAAGAGGATAACTTTATCTTGACAGTGCAACAAACTATTAAACCTGTTGGATTGGGGGTCGGCGGTGGTGGTGAGTTGTGCTGAGTGTCCCCAACAGTGGCAGCTATGAAACATAGAACATCAAAATTAAAAACATTATAAATACATGAATCAGACAAAACTAAAACTATAGAAACCATATCAATCAAAAAACAAAGTAGGACAAACAAAAATGAAGAGGAAAACTTTATCTTGACCGTGCTGCAAACTACCTGTTGAATTGGGAGTTGTAGACCCAGTAGCTACATCATCCAGACCACCTTCCCCAGCATGTGAATATAGCCTTTATGCTTATCTGTGGATATTGTTGTTATACATATCTGTTATAGAATGTGGATATAGCTTATTTGCTTATCTGAGAATGTGGATATTGTTGTTATACATATCTGTTGAGCATGTGGGTAATGCTTATATGCCTATCTGCTAAAAAAGGGAAAATGAAAAGTAATTGGGACTTGTAAGTCGTTTGACATAAATATATGATTTATGTGAATGTATCAGTGTTAGCCATCTATCAATTGCTAATATTTTAGTCATTGTCCATGGTTGGTTTAGTGTATTTCTACTGGGCTGTGGCTCACCCTATATGGGAATATCATTTTTCAGGTGCAGGAAGCATGCCACCTCCAAGGATATAGCTGGGAAGCTAGTGGCGGACATACTTTTGTCGCTTAACTTTTGATGTATTACATGTAACCTCAAGCCAAGGGCTTAATGTGTAAACGAGTTAGTACTCTTTTGTTGTAACCAAGTGTTAACTTGGAAAGCTGTAAGCCCGTAGGGCATTTTGTTTTTGATGTTAACATGTAATACTTATGTAATGGAACTCCAATGAATAAAAGAGTATGGTTAGTTTATATGTAAATGCATGTCTTATCTGATGGGTTTATTGTTGTTATTTTGAGGGCGTTACAGATACTCTTAGCAATAAGAGTCCACCACAAAGCAACCAAAATATCCATAAAAATAGTCAATTGGTCAGGGCTAAAAACTCCATTCATCAATTCCTCCTCCTCCTCCTCCACAAACTAATACTAAATCTGGCAGGGGCTCTCCTATTATAGAAATATCATTTTCAATTCAAACAAAATTAAAACTATTAAAATAGTTTTTTCAAACCTTCAAGCCTCCGAGGAGTTGTACCCTCATGGACTAATAATGACGAAGGGCCTGGAGAAAAAAAATCAAACAAATAAGAACCAACAAAACAGGAAAAAAATTTAAACGTACTGAAATTTGCAAATGTTGAAGTAGATAAGAAAAATAGCAACCACAATACAAACCTGCTGGACTGGGAGTTGTTTGGACATCCTGCACCAAGCTCGAAATCCTTATATAATCTGTACTGCCCAGTCTAGCAGGGACTCTCCTATTTCTTGCACCCCTCCTTTTCCCAGACTGATTAACTAAAAAATTCGGACTCCTCGAGACAAAAGTGGGCAACCATCTGAGGTTCTCAACTGAGGACAACGGAAAAAAATATATCAATCAAACAAAATTAAAACTATAGAAACTATATCAATCAAAATAGGACAAACAAAAAAAAAGAGGAAAACTTTAGTGCTGCAAACTACTTGTTGAATTGGGAGTTGTGGACCCAGTACCTAAATTATCCAGACCACCTTCCCCAACAAATGCACCTATGAAATATAGAACATCAACAAAATTCAAAAAATAGTTCACCTAATAAAGTGGGTGTTTGGAAAGTGGCTATTTTAGAGACTTTTTGGCTATTTTAGTAGGCAATTTTAGTTGTGTTTGGGAAGATGGGATAGATTTTTATTTGAGTTGGTGTATTGAAAAATGTGTTGAAATGATGTTTGAAGTTAAAATGACAAATTTGTCCCTAACTTCACATTTTTCAAAATTAATTTAAAGGGGAAAAATTGTAATTAACCAACCTATCACAGTGACAATCTTACACTGTCACTGTGACAGCCCACAACCGGGATTCTTTTTTATTTTTTTTTTTTTTTTTTTTTTTAAATCAATGGTCTAAAGGGGCTAAAGGGGCCTTTTTTATTGTTGAGGCTAAAATAGCCTCTACCCAGGCTTCCCAAACACCGCCAAAATCAGTTCATCAAAAAAAATTCACAAAACAGTTAACCTAAAAAGTTTTCATTTCCAAAACTTAAGTTCATTGTGGCTTAGGCACAAGGTGAGGTGCACGCTTCATTGAAGCAAGGCACACCTTCCAGTAAAAAATAAATAATTAACATAGACTAATAATTTGGACATAAACACAATCAAAATAGATAATTCACAACTCATAACCACTAAAACAAAGTAGGACAAAAAAAAAAAATAAATAAAAAAAAATAAAATAAAAGATGATAACTTTATCTTGACAGTGCAACAAACTATTAAACATGTTGGATTGGGGGTCGGCGGTGGTGGTGAGTTGTGCTAAGTGTCCCCAACAGTGGCAGCTATGAAATATAGAACATCAAAATTAAAAACATTATAAATACATGAATCAAACAAAACTAAAACTATAGAAACTATATCAATCAAACAACAAAGTAGGACAAACAAAAATGAAGAGGAAAACTTTATCTTGACCGTGCTGCAAACTACCTGTTGAATTGGGAGTTGTGGACCCAGTAGCTACATCATCCAGACCACCTTCCCCAGCAAATGCACCTATGAAATATAGAACATCAAAAATATTCAAAAAATTGTTCACCTAAAAACAGTTCATCAAAAAAAAAAAAAAAATTCAAAAAACAGTTAACCTAAAAAGTTCCCACTTCTAAACTAAAGCTTGGTGTGGAGTCCCAATCCATCGGAAAGAGACTCTTCACCTACAACAAAATTCAAAAAACAGTTCAATGTTGTAGAGCTGTAGAGAAAAGAAGAGTATCAACTACAGCTGTAAATAATCATAGACTAGTTATAGAGAAATCATGGGTGAAATGGCGGGCTTATAACTACCTTCATTATATACAAATTTAGAAGGCGGCGGATGTTCTGAAGGGCTGGTTTGCTGGGGGACTTCAGAAGTGGAAGGATTGGGCCCTTCATTATATACAAATTTCAAAATTCAAAATTCAAAAAACAATTCAATGTTATAGAGCTGTAGAGAAAAGAATAGTATCAACTACAGCTATAAGTAATCGTATTTATAGAGAAATCATGGGTGGAATGGCGGGCTTATAATTACCTTCATTATATACAAATGTAGGAGGCGGTGCATGTTGTGAAAGGCAAGTTTGTTGGGGGATTTCAGAAGTGGAAGGATTGGGCCCATCAACTACATTAGAGAAAATAATAGTAGAAAATAAAAATCAACTACAGCTATACGTACTCAACGTACTTTTAAAAAACCACATAAAGGGTGTATATACCTTGATAGTTGATTAATAAAATGTGTCTTCTTTCCCACTCTTGATTAAACCGATGATAATCACCAAATTTTGACCAATCTTGGTTGACCTTTGGCCCACCCCGAGATATGGTTCTTATTTCCACAAGAGGGTCCATCAAAGTACACTGAAAATCCTCCTCCAAACCAAACTGCCTAGGGCTTAAGTCAAGTCGATGATAGACAGCCTTCTCAAAACAAATAAGAATTGTTCGGGACATGCCTATGATGGCCTGTCCCCTCAAAGGGAGTGGAAGAAAGTCCACAGGCAGCCTTTCATAAGGCTTTCATATTTAACGGAGACCAACAGAGGCAGTAGTGAAGAAATGCGATGCCGTAATGGTAGATGGAAGTGTTAGGAGACGGGTTAGGCCTAAATTAACGTTGGTTAGCATTGTAAATAGAGATATGAATCTACTTAAGCTGACTAACGAAATGGCCTTTGATAGGGCCGTGTGGAGAAGAAGTGAAAAATCTAGAAATCCCCTAGATGTTGATTTGTGATTATGTATCAATTTTAAGCAGAATATAACAATCCCAATTAAACAATCAAGACAAAGAGACACAACGATTTTACGTGGAAAAAACCACAATTGGACACCTCCAACTGTGATCAAAAAACCACGGGCAACAGCCACAAGAACAATCCACTAAGAAGATTTAAAGGAATTACACAGGTATACTCTCAATTACCTAGCGAATCCACAACGCCTAATTGAACCAACCTTTATGTGCCTCTTCCAACCCCATGTTCACCACGGAATTGTCTTTCTGATGAGCCACTCTGGATTCCACCAAAGCTTCAGGCTCGAATTCTTCAGAATCCACAACTGAAGAATAACTCTCTCTTTTGTGTATAACAAACAAACCTTTGATGTACTCTCTTTAAATCATGAGTTGAAGACTCAATAAAAACATCAAAGAAAACAAACAAAATATCCCCAGATATAAACCTTAAGAACCAAAAAGAAGATCTGGAGGACTTCAATCAATCACCTAGTTTTGGGAGAAAACCAAGTATTTATAGAGAATCAAAAGTAATCCTAGATTAGGAAGAAAACAAATTCTTTGAGAAATCCGGATTCTGAGGCTCGCTCGAGCGAAGCTTTGCTGGCTCGAGCGAGGAGTGTATTTTTCATGATTTCTACTAGTGCCTTGGCTCGAGCGACCAATCAACTCTTTCAGGTTTTTGAATGGACGCAATCCTTAGCTCGAGCGAGAACTCCTTGGCTCAAGCGAGAAAGCCTTGGCTCGAGCGAGAATTCCTTGGCTCGAGCGAACATGGGCAGACATGCAATTTTGAATGCAATTTTGCAATTTGCTTTGGCCGCGAGCTGACCCGTAATAATCAGCGAAGTGGCAATCTTGCAAGCATTAACATCACAAACTTCTCTGAACGGCACAATTCGGGTTGGATTCGCATCTAATAAACTCATAGCCTCACTGAAATAAAAAATGCGAATAAAATTACAACTCAAAGGAGTTTTGTCAAACGGGATTGCCAAGAAATAAAACCTAACAAGAAGGATTCATGTAGCCGACCCCATTTGATGGGACTTAAGGCTTGATTTGATTTCGTTTGGTTTGGTTATCTTTCATTCATTTGGATAAATTTTAGAGATATTCATGCCCTAGTAGAGCTTTGAACCCTACACCTCTTCTATTGTCGGCAGAAAAGTTAATTTTCATTTTAGATTGGTAATGCGGTACCCACTTTTCTACCATTTCAAATTTAAAATAATCTTCATCAACCAAACGCTATGAAGCCGGGGTACGGGTATGGGTACGAGTACTGGTACGGGTACGGTACGGGTACGCCGATACAGTAAAATCCAAAAAAAAAGTAGGGTACGGGTACGGGTACGCCTTGGAACGCTTGTAAAAAAATACTTATTTTTAATTTAGAATAATGAAAAAATTAATTAAATGGTTTCATTTGTTAAGATGCAACCTATAATTAACATATAATGCCAAAAGTAAAGGTATAATTAAAATTAAATGTCAATATATTAAACAACTTACAAACCATAGTGTAACTTTAAAATCATGCTAAGCATAAAAAACTAAAAACAAAAAAGAAGTCTAGTGAATGAAGTTTATTTTTGTAGTAGAAGAAAATATTGTTTCAACTGAGGTACGATACGGCTTGAGTATATACTAGGTACGTTTGGGTACGTCAAAAATTAAGAAGAAAAAATTCAGGTACGTGTTTCGTGTACCCGGTACGGGTACGGCATGTTTTTTGAAGTACCCGTGCTTCATAGACCAAACGTGAGATACTTTAATGGGGAAATGGCTTTTTAGTGGAACAATAGAAATATAATTTTATTTTCATGGTGGTGCAAGTCCATTATGTGTTTGGTGCAAGTCTTTACTATGTGTCAAAACAGGACCAAAAAATATTCCATCTGTAGCACAATTGTTTTATAACTGTCCCACTGATTTGCAATTTCCCCTAGTTTTATTGGCAAGAAAAGAAAGTTTAACAAAATAATTTTGAAACTTGGCGAAGTTTTGCCCAACTCAAGGACATTAGTTTATTTTCCATAGATATAATCTAACAATTTAATTGCATCAAATTGCAACAACGGGGAAAGAAAAGAAACAACATAAACTTACTACAGACTAATCAAAAACACCACCTCAAGAAAGCAATAAAGTTCAATAAAGTCATTCAACAAGAAAAATTAGCAAAAAGGAAAACAAATTAATGAGAAGAACAATCACAATTAGAAGCAATAAGTGCATGCACGTTTGAATGTTGGAGGAATTAAAGAAAATGCATGTTTATTAGAAGGAACAACTCGAATCCCTCTTATCTTCTTCTAGATCTAGGGCCCAGTGATTTCGAACTTGAATCCCTTGGATCTTCACGAGGACTGAAGCTCACGAATTAGGGAGAGAAGCAAATGAAAAAAGAGAAAGTGAGATCATTCAAGAGGGAGGATGGGTTTTATCCTCTTACTAGCTGAATTATAGAATATGTGAGATCAAGGTTAGGGCTAGAGAGAAGAAGAGAAGACGGAGAGGAAACAAAAAAATATAGGAATAGGTATTAGGGTTGTGTCTCGTACCCTCTACCTTGGTCCACATTTATACTAGAGTAATAAAATAACAAAATGACAACAGTACCCTCGCTAATAACAATAAAAGACACTCGATATATAAACGACATCTATTCTAACATTACAAACTTTCTTTTGCCCAAAATAGCCTTTTTTCCTATTTCTCATTATTAACCTTAGTCATCATTTAAATTACAAACGAAAAAAATTATTTCCCAAGCCAAACCAAGATGACAAAAAACCCCAAGCAACGAAACACAAGATGGCAAAAGAGGTAATAAAATTTAATTTATTGGTTACAATGGTATGGCCCCAACTAGAGTGGAAAAGATTATTAACTTTGGTTTGCAGTTTGCAGTGGTCTTGATATGGAAACAACTAATAAATTAGCTAGCTAGAGCCCAAGTTTCAGTGACAAACGTAAGCTAAGAAAAATTAAGGCAACAAAACCAACCTTGCTAGTAAACCCCCTAAGTTGATAATATATGTTCTGATTAATGAAAACATTATAGAAAATCAAGTGGGCATTGAAATATGAATTAACATAGATGATTAGAAGCGCACCAACATTCATTGGTCCTGTTTGGTAGAGCTGTGGGAAAGTGCTTATAGCTTATGCTTAAACAGCTTATAGCTTATAACTATGAATATAAGCTGATTTCTGACTTATAAATTAAGCATCTCCTGCCACACTCAAAGAATAACCTTGCTAGTAAACCCCCTAAGTTGATAATTTATGTTCTGATTAATGAAAACATTATAGAAAATCAAGTGGGCATTGAAATATGAATTAACATAGATGATTAGAAGTGCACCAACATTCATTGAGTTTTTTAAAATGAAGAATAAGGCAAACCACTAACATTAGATTTTGATTTGGGTTAATTACACTTTTAAGCCCTACACTTTGACTCAAATTTTACCTTGGTCCCTATCGTTTCAAATTGAACAACTCGATCCCTACGATTTTAATTCAATTTCAATTTAGTCTTTCCGTCCAATTTTCCGTTAATTTTCCTACATAGGTATTAGGAGACTAACAAGTGTCCCAAAATTGTTAACTTTAACCTCAATCTAGAATGGAATGACCAAGCTAAAATTAGATTTAGAGTGTAGGGATCAAATTATCCAATTTGAAACTATAGCGACTAAAGTGAAATTTGAATCAAACTATAAAGGTGAGAAGTGTAATCAACCCTTTTGATTTTGACCAACAGATTATGAGTAAAATTACAAATTGGTTAAAGAGACAAATATACATTCATAAAAAAGCAAAGCATCACACTCATAAGTTATTAGGAATAAAAGTGAAATTTTAATATAACAAAAGATAAATGATATTTCATTGCAAATATAAAAAATAAGAAAAAAAATTCAAATTGGGCTCAGCTACTTTAATCTTTGGTCGTACTACTAGTGACTTAAATGATGAAATGTTTCTATAATGTATGATTTGGTATTGCATCGCAATTCAATACACATCACACGACTAATTAATCTTTACCTTTGACTCTGTTAACAGTTTTTTTTTTATTCTTCGTCTTTTTCACTATCAATCATCACGACCAATTGACGTAGATGGAGAGGGAGAAACGGATAGAGGAAAAACAAAAGGGCCACAACCCAAATCACACAAATCTATTAAACTATGTCCAATACAATTACCACAACTTCTTATTTATAGGCAAAAATCCCAATACTAAAAAGAAATTTAGAATTCTTAACAAAATAGGAAACCAAATACTAAAGAATCCTAATTAAACAATAATTTAAAATACTAAAGACATCAAATTATAAAATTGTAAATAAAATTTCCATATCAAATTGGTGTGCCAACAGTCAACCATACAACAATGATACATCCCTCTAATTTATCACCCCTAAATGACCCCTAACGATGTGGCATTGAGATTAGACCCCACATGATGGAATGTTTGACAAATCAAAATTTGACACTTGTTAGACACATAATTAGGGGCAAATTTTAGGGGTGATAAATTAGGTGTCTCAAGCATTTCTTGTGAACCATATTCTTAATCCCATACAAAGAATACCAATATCCAAATAAACTCGCAAGCAAAAATGAATGCCTTATTCCCTTTCCTACAAGAAATTGAATTACTCTTATGCACCTAATTTAGGTGAAAGAACATAGTGTTTACACACAAATTGTAGGATTTGAGTTTAGACTAGAGATTTGAGCCAAAAGGCTTATCTCGACCGTGACAATAAACCATATAACAAGTATGTTTGCTGCTACTCATATCCAAACAAGTATTAAAGAATATCTTTGGTTGCAAATCATGAACTAGAAAAGCACTCACATAAAAGGCAAGCAATAACTTCTATCATAGGACTACAACTGATCATCAATCAAATTAACATAAATGAAATTTTATTTAGTACTAAGGCTAAAACAAGAAATAAATTCAAGTAAGAAGTTTGTAACAATAAAGGCAGACCAAAAGGCAATGCTGAATTTGTGACGTATGGTTCCACAATTAAACATATTTAGCAAAAGAGAATAAATATCAATTGCATTCAATCTCATAATCTTCGTGATTATTGAACTTAGAAACAAGTGCCATGTTTTCACACAAACACTGGTTGCTGAATATAAGTATCTCGGTAAAACTCTACATGACCAGAAGTGTATTAATAGTTTGAACTATAGCTAAAAGAAAACTAAATCATTTTAATCTAATTGGTTCGGACCATCAAATCAAAAAGCATGCACATATTTATTGAAGATCAAATTTGTCTGGTCCTGAGCTGATCCACCAATCTTGCAAAAGAAGTAGTGAGTCTTTAGTGACACCACTGTGGTGTCATCCAAAAGCCCTCCAATGGTTCAATCGGTACTCATTTTGATGGAGCAGACTAAGAGTAGAGAGAGAGAGATTGAGAGGAGAGATTTAGGGTTGCTGAATATTGCCTGCCTTGTGTTTGTCTTACCTTAAGTCTTTTATAGAGAAACTCTAATATGAGTTAGATTAGTGAGATAAATAATTCCCTAATGTCTACTTTTGTTTTGCAATGGATATGGAAATATATAATCTCAATCATATGTTTGTTTTGCATTATTAGTTGTAGGATTAAAAAATTCACCAATTTTTTTTTGGATAGAATGTGCATCGAAATCTAATCCGTATAACAAAAATTGCAACCAAACAATGAAATGTGAGTCTCATAGATTAATAATCTCAACCATATGGTACAATCCACTCAATCAAACAAGCCCTTACGGTATAATCACACTCGGTGAAATTTAAAGAAAAACGCCAAAGAATATGATATCATGAAATTAGTTTCATTTAGATGGAAAATATAAACTCTTTCGGGTGAAAAATCAAATAATTGAGCATATAGCTCTTCATAGAGTGGAATGAGGAAATACATATTCATGTAATTGACCCCACCAAATTGGAACAAAAGGGTCTATTTGTTTGGTTTAAGTGAAGATTGAAAGTTCCTTTCCTTCTTTTTAAACATTGCACTTCCTCATATTTAGGTGGACCTAACACAGCTGAATCCCATGCTATCAATTCCATTTCAATTTGACACACTTAGCTACAGATTTTCAAGACCCCTTTCCCAAAAAAAAAAAAAGCTGGTCAAAAAATCCAGGCGCGACAGATTGTAATTTGTAATTACTTTGCACATAATTTTTGGTAAAGATTTTCAATCCGTAACACGTAAGAACCAAGTTTTAACCACGAAAGGCATAATAAGAAAATACCAACCAACCCAATACTTGAGTTACACAATGAATCAAAAGAATTTGTAATTATTATTTCACCAAATTACTATGAAAAATATGCAGCATTGTCACAAGAGCAGAGAAGCTATTGATTGAACAATTAAAAGAAAACTAGTTATGTTTAGATCATGAATTTTGGTAGGAATTTGGCAAAGGTAAGAGAAAAAGTAACGAGAAATGTGAATACAATATAAGTTAAATTTTTCGTCATTTCTCTTTTCATTTCGCTATCCAAATTTCTATCCAGATTATCCAAACACAACGCAAATATAAAGTATAAAAAATAAAAAATTGAATCTAATTGAATAAATAAAATTCACATAGAATATTGACAAGCAAGTCTTACCTTAATTTATTTTTTTTCCGACTCCACTCATGCCACCAAAATTTCCAAAGTTCCAAGTAAACCTATTTTATTGCCAAAAAAATAAAATAAAAAAATAAAAAAGGAGGATGATATAAAAGCATTTACTCTTGTTTCCAAGCATTAGAAACAATTTGAAGGACAAATTACACCGATGGTACCTATATCCGACTCCACTCATGCCGTCAAAATTTCCAAAGTTCCAAGTAAACCTATTTTATTGCCAAAAAAATCAAAAATCAAAAATCAAAAATCAAAAAAGGAAGATGATATAAAAGCATTTACTCTTGTTTCCAAGCATTAGAAACAATTTGAAGGACAAATTACACCGATGGTACCTATATTTTGTCTCGTGTTATTTGGTCTCTACACTTTTAATTGACACAATTTTGACCCTTAATTTTAGATTTTGAATTAATTTGATCCAATTGATAATTCTGTTAATGTTTTTACAAAAAATTAACATTGAATTAGTTGATGTTAACTCACTCACTCAGTTGAGTAAATTTATAATTTTGTCATTAAAAATACAACTCATGCCACTTATGTACCCATTTTCCAGACAAAAATATAAAAAGTTATAAACAATTGAACCAAATTGAGACAGATTCATAAATTCATGATAAAAATCAAATCAATTGAAATTATTGAGACCAAAGTAGAGGGACTAACATCGTAATTTGCCCTATTTAGAAATATAACAACAGCAAATCCAAAACAATGAAACCTAGATCTCAAAAAAATGACCTGAAGACTGAGGAGGCATGGTTCTCTTCTCACTCCGTTTTGAGTAACCGATGTGATGAAGAATGGTTTTATAAGTTCCAAAAACCTGCCAATCAATCAAAAAAAAAATTTTTAAAAAATATCCATCCATAGGTTTTGTTTTTGTCGGATATTCATCTCAGGTGTAATTGTTTCCATGAAAAGCATTTTTCTTATATGAAATTAAATTTTACAATTGGAAGGAATAAAAAAAACCCATTGGAAAGTAACCAGATCCTTTAATCTTCCTTTTGGTGGACTAATTTAAAAAGAAAAAAAAATTAAGAAAAAATGTTTATCCACGAACTCAACACATGAGGTAAATGATCTCAATCCATAAAATGATAGCAAATAATAAACTACTTACTCGAAAAAAGAAAACAATTTTCCTTGGTCCTGTTGAATCCTAACAATCTTCCCCTGAGAATACGAAATGGAAGAACAGTAAAGTAGATGAAATGTGAGAGTGAGAAGATGAAAGGATGAGAGACAGATTTTTTTATTATTTTTCTTTCACTGGAGAGAGAGAGAGAGAGAGAGTTAATGATAAAATTAAAAGTCCCAGAGATTTGAAAGGGGAAGCCGAAAGGATGAGAGAGATTTTTTTAATTATTTTCTGTCACTAGAAGGAGAGTTAATGAAGACAAATTAAAAGTGTAAGACGGATGAAAATGAGAAACAGAGGAGGTTGTCTTGGGCAGATAAAAGAATCAAACCTATTGTTTGGAAAGTGGGTTGGCTTTTTGACTTTTTGATTTTTTTGACTATTTTAGCCTGGGCTTAAAAGCTTGGTTTGGGAAAGGTTTTTTGGTTTTTTTGAGTTTTTTTGTGAGAGAAGAATGTAATGATTATGGGTTGGATGTGATGTTTTGTTTGTTATGTCTAAAATAGCCTATTTTGTTTTTTGTGGCTAAAATAGACAAAAAAACCTGCAAACCCACTTGCCAAACACAGGCTCAATATATAATTAACATATTCTGTCAAGATGACCTAGGAAATGGACGACGTTTTTTTGGAAAGTAACAAATCCTGATATAAGTTTATATTATATTATATATATATATATATATATATATTAATTTATTACTTGTGTTATGTATGGAATAATTATAGATATTTATATTTATTTTAAGAATTTTTATAAAAATAATTTAATAATCTTATCATTAATCATAGTGTATAAGAGAAGTTGAAAAAGGTACTGCAGTAACTATATACAGATTGTATTTATAATTATTTGTATGAGGGGATTTTAAATGCTGATAAAGGAATTTTGACCAAATCAATAAATGCAGGCATGTGAAAAGACATATGGATTACAAAAAAGTTAATAAATGTTGATCAGGGAATTTTGACAAAATCAATAAACGGTAAGTTTTTTTTTAAATAAAAAATTTAGAAAATTCAGATTGAAATTATTTAGAGCCATTGAACAAATTATAATCACATTTTTCTTTTTGTGAGTTAACTTCAATCATATTAAAAAATCAAATTATAAACAAAATGAGATAACTTCAATCATATAAATCACAATTTTTTTAATACTATCTAACTACAAATGACATTTTTCTCATAATAAAAAAAAATAATTGAAAAAAATAACCATTAAAATAGTAAATAAAAAAGATTTTTTAGAACCATTGATATTAAACTACAATCACATTTTTCTTTTTGTGAGTGTTTAGTGTTTATCTACTTCAATTATATTAAAAAATAAAAATTATAAAAAAAAGGGGGATAATTTCAATCATACAAATCACAATTTTTTTTAATGCTATCTAATCATCATCAATAATTAAAAAAACAATCACATAAAGTCAATTGATAATTAAAAACACAATAATTTATTTTTCAAAAAACTAGTGAGTTAAAAAGATCAATTACAATTTTTTTGGGTCAAAATACAATTCATCATCATCAATAGTTGGTACATTATGTGAACTCTAATGAGATACAATCCATTTTTTGATTTTCAAAAAACATAGTGAGTCAAAAGTCAAATCACAAATTAAGTGAATTGATAGTTAAGAAAACACAATAATTTTTTTCAAAAAAACACAGTAAGTTAAAAAACTCATACAATTTTTATTTCACAAAATACAATCTAATTCATTATCAATAATTGATACTTTAAAATCAAATCAGAAAAAAATCAAATCAAATCACAAATATTCTTAAGCTATCTAACTGCACATTTATACTATTTTTTCATAACGTAATTGTAACATAAAAAAACAATTTAAGAAACTATAATAAAAGATTAAATCAGCATTAAAAAAAAAGAACCCATTGAACAAACTACAATCACAATCACAACATTTTTTCCATAATAAAAAAAATAAATAATAAAATGAAAAAAGAAACCATGTTGACTAACTACACTCCATTAACAAAAAGAACCATTAACTAAACTACATCATATTTTCTCTGTTCTTTGTAAGTTGTTTTATATGTTTCATATCTAACTCCAATTCATAACTAAAAATAAAATTAAAGATAATAAATAAAAGATTAAATAACAATTAAAAAAAAACATGAACCTAACTATACATGCATATCATATTAAAAAAAGAAGCCATGAAACAAACTACAATACACATTCACCATTATCAATTCTACATATTTTTTTTGGGAGTGTATTATTTATTTAACATCAATCATATTGAAAACATAATGAAAATAGTAAAATGAATAACATTAAATAACATTAAAAAAAAAACGGAGCAATCATACATATAACCTCTTGAGAGTTTAGCTAAACTATAAATACGCCCTGAGGTTTGTGAGAAATTACAATTCTCCCCTGAATGCTATATTTTCATAACAAATTATGGACAATTTGTTATGAAAATAAATTCATCAAGGGTACTAAGCAATTGTATGAAAATACAAACCTCAGGGGCGGGATGCAATTTTCGAAACCTCAGGGGGATGTAATCGTGATAACATTTATACAAACCTCGAGGGAGGTATATGTAATGTTGCTCCAAAAAAAAAACATTGAACTAACCATAACAATCCTATTAAAAAAAGACGAGTCATGAACAAACTACAATCACATCACATTTTTCCATAATAAAATAAATATAATAAAGAAGAAAAGAACTATTAAACTAACTACAAGCACATTAAAAAAAATGAATCATTTAAACTAATTATAATCACATTTTTCTTTTTGTGAGGGTTTATATTTATCTAACTTCAATCATATTAAAAAATTAAATTATAATTTTTTATTCGCTAGACAAATCACAAATATTTTTATGTGCTATCTAATTACAATATTAAAACAGTAAACAAAAGGAAAATTCAAGAAGGAGAAAATAAAAAGAAGACTTATTGTTTGCATACGTGGTCACTGAAGTTGAAAGTGTAGAAGTGAGAAGTCAAGAAGGAGAAAACAAAAAGGCGACTCACTGTTTGCACTAAGTATGTGAAAAGTTAAAAAAATGGTGTGTATTGGAAAAGTTAAAAAGACTTTGAAGAATTTAATAAGTACTAAGTTTTTTTTTCAAAAAAAAACAAAAAAAATTAAGAAATTAAGGTTCAGATATTACAACTCCCACAAAACTTGTGGGTTAGAGATAGATATAAATAAATAGATAGATATAGATATAGATATTTATATTTGTTTTAAATTCTTTTTAATATACAAATTATTTATTTTGAAAAATGAACTACAGTAATTATGAGAGAAGTCAAAAAGTCTTGTGGGTTGAGAGAAGTTAATAGATAGCTCCGTTTAATAGTTTGTTTTGACGTGAAATTATTTATAGATAGCTCCATTTGTTTTGACGTCAAATATTTTTGTCAAAAATATTTTACTCATTTTTCGTTCTTTGATTGTTTTTAAAATTTTACTATATATTTTTATATGAAGGCTCCATTTGTTTTGACGTAAAACATTTTTATCAAAAATATTTTACTCATTTTTCATTTTTCGTTGTTTAAGGAAAGTATTTTTGCATCATTTTCTTAAAAATAATTTGCCTTCAAAAATTCAATAAATCAATTTTTATAAAGTTGACTTTCACTCGCTACTTTTTTAACACATTTAGCATTTTCAAATATATATCTTAACTCACTAAAAAGTCATAAATGACAATTTATTGAATCAAAATTTCTCTTTTAGACAATAAAATATTTTTGTTTCAAGTGTCAACCAAACACCAAAAAATAAAAACAAAAACAAAAACACTAACACTAACACTTTTTCTATGTAAAATCAATTTACAAGAAAAATAATTTTTGTGTGTAAAATATTTTACGTCGAAACAAACAGAGCCGAAGTGTAAATAATATAAAATAAATAAGTATTTTCATTGTTTTAATTTGTAAAAACCAGAAAAACTTAAAACTACAAAATAAAAATCATATTAAACAAAGTGAGCACAACACTCACAATTGTGCACTCAATAGGACTCATTTTGAGTCTGATTTTGATAATCTGAACAGTTCTTTTTTTAGGAGGAAACCGTGATCCGTGATCCTCCTCCACGTTTGCCCCACCTCCGTCACAAAAAGTCTCAACAAAGGCTCGAGAATGATTTCGATGCATTCACAGCTACGAAAGCCAAGAATTTTGAGTGAGTAGGTCCGTCGTTGTCGCGGACTGCTGAGAGGATTAAGTAGTGAAGGTCTATGTGAAGGCTTTTGCTGGTGGTGTTGAGCACCAGAGACTTTTGTTGCGAAATGAGAGAAAGAAATAAGGAGTAAGAGAGAGAAAGAGAGAGAGAGAGAGTAAGTTTGTGGAGAGAGAGAAATAGAAAGTGAGGTTGAATATATCTAGGGTTTTGGTAGGTGGGTTTGAGAGAGAGAGAGAGAGATGGGAGTATTGTAGCACACATTGTAACGCCTCAACTTTTATTATCCAAATCCATTACCGAATCCTTTATAGGCTTCGTTTGGGAAGAAGGGTTGGATTGGGTTGGGTTTGGGGCTATTTTAGCCACAAAAAGACAAAATAGGTTTTTTAGCCCAATAAGACAAAATACCATATCCAACCCATAATCATTACATTCTTTCTCTCACAAAAAGTCAAAAAAGCCAAAAAAACCCTTCCTAAATGAGACTTTTTAGCCTCAGGCTAAAATAACCAAAAAGTCAAAAAGCTAACCCACTTCCCAAACGAATCCATATTATTACCAATTTCAATAATATCCAACATGTGCTAACATAACAATATATAAATAATAACATGCCCTCTTGAAAGTGATGATGTTATATAAATGAAATCTGATACAATGTTCTTAGGCTTACATTGAACAATAATAAATAAAAGGGATTTCCCCTTATATAATACGTGGTATTCAGCCAACAAATAAAAAGTCTCGTGGCCAAACATAACAAAAGACTTCAAGTCCTGAACAATCTTCCAGCCATGTACCTGAAAAATTTGACAACACGTAGAAGGAACATAAAGTCTAGTAGAGATCTCAAAAATCCTAACCAATCACAACATATAGTTAAATACGATCATGCATGCACCACAACATACCGTATAAGTAATGCGACAGTTGGTATCGAAAAGTATACTCATATAAATTCATTTTTCTTCCTCAAAACATTCTCTTAACACAACACAGAATGAAATCATTTCTTTTATTTCTAACTTCCGTTTCACTTCAAAAACGCTTCAAAACCCGTCTTCTTTTCTCTTAAACCTTCCACGGTGACATAAAAGAATTTCATTTAAACATTGATTTGAAGA